GCAGGCACACCTGGAGTCTCTGGCCGGTCTGTGTCACCAGGCAGGACACACTGGGGGCCGGACTGGGCGAACTGGGCTGGGCAGTTCCCTTCCTGACCCGGGCGCCACAGGGAACTGGCTTGTTTTGGCATCTGCCTCCGCTGAGCTGGATCCTGTGCTTTCCTGTCGCTTTGCATAGCGGCACTAATTTTGTCCACCTGCCTCCACCAGAGACCTGGGTAGCCGGCAGAGGTTGTAGAGTCTTCACTTTTCCCCCAATCAGGGTCTCCCCCTGCTTGGGGCTGCCCTGGGTCGGGGAAGGCCTTGGCTGAACAGGAAGACAATTTAACACCCTTGAAACCCTGGGCTTCCCTATGGCCTTGAAGGGCCTGTTGACAGAAGATCATCTGGGCAGGGGACTGTCCCCTCCACCAGACACCCTGCAGGGGTGCTGGTCTTCATGGGTTATGAAGGAGAAGCCCTCCCCGGCTGTTTTTCTGTTTTAGGGGCTTTATGTGGGTGTTTTCGTTTGTCTCATGGGCTCCTGGCCCCAGAACTGACTCTGGCGCGGAAACCTAGCAGGGTGCTGGTGGAGGGGATGAGGAGTGTCCCAAGCCTCAGTTGTCTTATCTGTAAACTGGGAATCATAAAACCTATTAAAGCTGGGGGGGGGGGTGCACACTGATAATCCCAGCTACATGGAGGCCAAGGCAGGATGATCGCTGGAGCCTTGGAGTTCAAGACCAGCCTGGGCAACATAGTGAGACCCTATCTCAAAAAAAAAAAAAACTATCTGAAGGACAGAAGTTGAACCAGATGCTGATTTTTTTAAAATCATATAGTAAAATTGAGTTGATTTTCTTTTGGTATATAGTTCTACGAATTCTAGAACATGTATAGATATCTATAGGTTTGTATAATTACCTCCGAAATCAGGAGACAGAATGTAGACAAAAACTTTTATTGGGCCCAACATTTATTTTTTTGAGACAGGGTCTCACTGAGTTGCTGAAGTTGGTTTTGAACCTGAGATCCTCCTGCCTCAGCCTCCTGAGCTGCGGGTGCAAATTCTTATTGAACACACATCTTTTTTCTTTTTTAAATATTTACTTTTTAGTTGTAGGTGGACACAATATCTTTATTTCAGGATTGAACCCAGTGCCTCAAGTGTGCTAGGCAATCATTCTACCACTGAGCCATAACCGCAGCCCATGAACACACCTCTTAATAATCAATAAAATTTTATTGAGCACCCCATACTCATTTACATTATCTGGGTTAAGACCCAGCTTACCCCTCATCCCCATCTTACAAACAAGGAATCACCTGAATTGGCCAAAGGTCAGGCACAAATCTCCCGACTCCAGATGCAATATTCTTGCCCCCCAGCACACCTTCTCCCTTGCAGGATTTTGCAGCAGTAAGACTTTATTTTTTTTTTCCTTTTTTAAACAGAGAGAGAGAATTTTAATATTTATTTTTTAGTTTTTGGCGGACACAACATCTTTGTTTGTATGTGGTGCTGAGGATCGAACCCGGGCCGCACGCATGCCAGGCGAGCGCGCTACCACTTGAGCCACATCCCCAGCCCAGCAGTAAGACTTTAAATCAAAGGAGAAGGGAAAGAAAAGGGAGAGGAGATCCCGGGACAACTTTGACTTCTTCAAAGCTCTGTGCTTTGAAGAGGTTCACTCTTCCTGTTGTTCAGAAAGTCTGAAGCCCTACAGGACCCACCCCTTGTTAACAAGACCTGGACAGTCCTCCCAACATGCTCGAGAGTCTGTCCCTGGGCACCATTGCAGGATCCCAGCTCCTGCCAGCCTCCCCCTCCCCAGAACAGCTCTGAGACCCTTGGTGGGCTCATGCCCCGCTGCCCACTGGGGGAAATCCAGCTGGGTCCCTTGGGACCTTGGTTTAAATACAGGCTGGTTCCTCCTCTGACCTAGCTTGACTTCCGGCCCTCCTGCTGCAGGTGCTGCTAGGGCTGGGGCCATCTGACCTGAGGCTTTGAGTGTTTTTCCAGCAGAACCAGAGGTGAGAGAAAAACAAAATGTGAAAATCTGCCAGGGTGACAGTGGGGGGTAGCATTCATCCTTATCCTACACAGGGCCCCAAAGGCCATCTAGGAACATGGAATTTGGGATTCCTGACCTCTGTCTGTTCCCGTTAGTCCACTTCAGAGCTGGAGTCAGAACCCAATCTGGGGAATTCTGGGTGTGTCCAGGTCTCCAAGCTGCCCCTGGTATGACATCCTTGGGTCCTGTATTGTCATGGAAACAGCAGCCTTTCACTTGAAACACCCCACTGCCCTACCCTGCCCAAAAGCCTTCTCTTAGATGACTGCAAAGGACAAAAATTAACAGGCATTAAATCCTGAATTCAACCCGAGTGTAGTTTGTTGAAACATGTTTTGACTGATCCCAATATTCAAGAGTAAGAAAGAGACATTTTCCCCTTGGACCTAACCCATTTTCTCCGTGGGGCAGGAAGGGAAGGCAAGACACCTCTTCTCAGTCCAGGTTCTGCAAGTCCCGAGTCTAGTAGAAAATTGGTGTGCACTTGGAGACAGCTCGAGCATACAGCCTTGTTCACTTTTTCTTTTCTTTTCTTTTCTTTCTTTTTTTTTCCATGTATATGTTGCCGTACATTCAAGTGCCTTTGTTATTTCAAAATAATTACTTGCAGGAGGACATCTAGGTAGGACATATCAACCTCATTGTCCCTGGCTGGTTAGAGCCCTGAGTTCCTCTCTCAGTTCTGTCCTCCATTCATTTGTTCCACTCAGCAGATGCTTTTAATCCTGGGGTCCCCGCCTGCACCAGTTTGCCCACTCTCTCCACTCCTGGTTTGTTCTTTCCCCTTCAGTCTCTCTGCCATTTCCTTCATGGTAGTTTCCCTCAATTTGAAATTTTATATTTGTTGGCTATTGTCTCTCTCCCCAGTGGATTGTAAGCTCCAGAAAAGAGAGTGTGGTGTCTCTGTTCACCTAGGTGTGCCCGTCTGCCTGGCACAACTCCTTATTGAATCAGTTAATGCCTGAATAGAGAATGCGTGAGAGGGTGAGTGAATGAATGAATGGCAGAAACCCAGCCTCACTTTTAAGAGCCTACCGAGCGGGAGTAAAGGGGATAAGACGTCCACATCTAACCGCAGCACAAGGTGGGCGTGGTTATTTCCAGCAAGGGCACACATCAGGAAAAGCACCCCGGGCTTCCTACAGCTGTTGGAACACCCCTCAGAGCGTGGCGCTTCTTTCTCAATGGCGCACTATCCCTGGAGAATAATTCCCAAAGCAGAGGGAATTACCTAGACGGTCCTGTTGCTCTAGATTGTTCCGGGATTGTCAGCCAGTGTAAACAACACCCCATCGACACACAGGGTCTGCCCCATCCTCCCCCAGCACCTCCCCATGGAGCTTCCTCCATGCTCTGATTACATCGTGGGGCAAACTCAAGGGTCCATTGAGATACAGGAAGTGAAAACACAGATGAACAATGAAACGTGCAATACAAATGTGAAGGGCGGCGTGATTTGGTTCACTGAATCTGGCTATGGTGGGCTGTTTTTTTCTGTTGTCCTGAATGCAGGCAGACAGCACATCCTGGGGCTGAGGTCCCTTGCCTTCAATTCCACCACCTTTACTCAACACCTTCCACGCGGGGACTTGATCCTGGTTGGCCCAGGAGAGTCCTGCCCACATCAAAGGACACCACCCTCTTTACTAGATGGGGCTTCTGAAGCAGTTGGCATGGGGAGACTGGGGGCCTCGAGGAGCCATCCCTTAGGAACTGGGAGAGCCTGGGCAGTCTGCTTCATCTGGGAGCCTCTGCATCCTCAATTATGAAATGAGACTTAAACATCTTATTGTTGAGAATAGTACAGGCACGTGCAGGCCTTCAGAAACACACCTCCTTGGAAAAGACCTTGGGAATCCCCACATAATCCTCTCTAAAGACCTTGACCTAAGGGGCTGGGGGATCAATTGTGCTGAAACTCATGCATAGGACACTGGAAGCTAAGAGGAGGTAGAGTATGTCCCAAGTGTGATTACCAGCCTCTGACCTCAGGGAGAGGACAGAGCTAGAGGTGGGAAGTGTGGGTCTCACATCACCAATGAGGAGTGGAAAGATGGGCCACCCATCTCTCTACCACCATCCTCCCTATGACCAGAGTGAGCAAATGAAATCACCCTCAGTGCACACACTTGAACCTAAGAGGGGGCTCTTGAAGCCTGAAAGGCCACATTAGGATCAAGAGCAGATCTGTGACCTTCTCAGTAGGTACAGAGAACCCCAGAGATGGTCAATTCTGGACAGGCACAGAGTTTCCAAATACACTGAAAAGTTAATGGATTCCAAGTTATAAATGGGGTGATCTTTGGAGATGCCTGGGGGTCCAACTTGAGTCTTTGGAGGCTGACATGAGAGATGCTCATCATAGCCTCTCCTTAGTGATAGACATCATTATTGGGCAGTCTGAACCTGGAGGAGTCAGGGGTCTCAGAGGTACTCCAAGACTGGGTGACTTCCCAAGACTGGAAGGGAAAATCTCAAGTCCAATTCAAAGCTTTGTTTTTATACATAATGAATGACAGATGTAGTCTCTGTCACCAGAGGCCCTGAAAAGGTCTGGATTAGAGATCACCAACTTCTGCTGCCTTCTGGTCTTCCTTCTGGATCCAGTAGTTGAAAAGTGTATCCCCAGGGAGCTCCATGTCCCTGGCCACCACGGTTCTGGGATTACTTCAGTTATGAGATGGTGAGAGGAGAGGCTCCTCTTCCTTGGCTGGTCCCACCCTGTCCTTGGCAGTAACCTCTCTGGTGCCTCAGCCACACCTCAATTATGTCCTCCTATGTGACCATCAAAGTCAACTCCGGCTCCTGTTGTCCTCACTCCCAGAGGAGGCCAGAGGTTTTTCCCTCTTATCCAAAGTCCATATATAATTCCCCAGTCTTAGCTAGAGGTCTCTGTTATGGGAGTTCCATGTATACTGTCCCCTCTCCTGGGAATGTAGGAGGAACATGACAGAAGGCTATGTGGGCTCAGAGACCCTCCAATTCCCACCTGGCTCCTCCTCTTCAGTGGAGCTGGACGGAGGAGAAGAAAGGGTATCCCCTCGTTCCCTGTGGCCCCTGTTCCTAGAACCAGCACCTTGCCCAGGTCTTTCCAGACTGACCAGGAGAACAACCCCTAGCATCCTGGTGACTTCTCAGCAGATAATGAGTCGGGGACACTGCTTGGGCAATGCTTAGGTAATGCTGGGAAGGAAAGATGCTCTGCCTTCTGGTCCTAAAATCAGGGAGGTGGAGCAGCCTGAGCTCTGACACTCTGGACCACAGGGGTGTGATTTTTCAATGTTGGTGCCAACATTATACCCAACCATAGAACCAATCATTTCTGGGAAGGTTGACTTGTTTATTCTACATAGTCGAGTGCTGAATGCTCTGAGACTCAGGAGTGGGAGGTTTGCACAGCAGGGCAGTGTTTTATTTGGGGGCATTGGAGGAGGCTGGTTTGCTTCAGATGCTGAAACAGCACCAACCTGGGCACCAGGAGGCCAAAAGGCCCAGTCCTGCTTTCTCCGTCCTCACCTTGCCCTCCTCTAAGGTTCCCACATGAATCTGTGCCCCGGGACTTTCTCTCCTGAAAACTGAGGCAGGGGAATCTGCTCATTAAGGGAGGACAAATGATGTAAAGACATTCTTGTAATTTGGGAGAGGATGCCAGCATCCTTAGAAGCTAAAATAACTGGGCTGTGGTTGTGGCTCAGCAGTAGAGTGCTCACCTAGCACATGCCAGGCCCTGGGTTTGATCCTCAGCACCACATAGAAATAAATAAACAAAATAAAGGTATTGTGTACAACTAAAAAAATAAATATTTAAAATAAATAAATTAATTAAATAACAGAGCAGCACTGCAGAGACTGCGAGGAGGATAGGTACAATGAAATACAGGAAAGCAAGTCTGTGCAGAGCTGCCTCCTCTGCTGAGTTGGTTTGTGCAAGTCGGTCTCTTGAAGCCTCAGTCTCTCCCTCTTGAAAATGGGTGTGATGGTAACTTCTCATTCACAAGGTGCTTGCAGGGGTTGAATGTGAGGCAGGCTCTCGTCACCTGATGAGCTCTGCAAAGACACTGAAAGGAGTTGGAGAAGGAAGAGAAGGAGACTACAATGACTCCTTCTTTTTATAAAAAATAAAAAGGGATGGGGATGTAGCTCAGTGGAGGGCATCTTTCAGGCTGTTGTACTCTTGAGTTCTAACACAGGGAGGAGACTTCAACTTTGATATTGAGGTTTCGGGGCTGTGGAAGGAAGCACTTGTGGTCTGTCCTCGGAATTTCTGCTTCTTAGTTTGCATTTCTGTGGCAGTCCAAGGAGTAGAGGCAATGCCCGAAGTTTGGGTTCTTTGCCCCACAGACCTGGACCTGAGGGAGACCCAGAAACTTGGGGAAGGGGAGAGCAATATGTAGGGTTTGTGCCCCCTAGTGGTCAGAATTAGCACTGCATCCAGCACCCCACAGCTGGCCAAGGTGATGGGATGAAGGAAGCAAAAATGGAATTTGGGGCTGAACTGAGCCCAGAGACCCCAAGATCTATAAGCTGTCCCTGGCCCCCTTCCCCAGCACATACGATTTCTCTGGTAAGTGGAGGGGAACCATGCAGAGAGTGGGAAGAGGTCAGCATTGCTCTCAAGAAAATCGTCCTAGCCCAGCATTGTGGGCTGCACACCTGTAATCCCAGAGAGTCAGGCCAAAGCAAAAGGATCAGAAATTTAAGGCCAGCCTCGGCAATGTAGCAAGACTCTGTCTCAAAATAAAAAATAAAAAGGGATGGGGATGTAGCTCAGTGGAGGAGAGCTTGTCTAGCATGTGCAAGGCCCTGGCCTCAACATTCAGTACAGAAAAAAAAAAAAAGCCATGCTGACATTGCTTCCTTTTGGAGGGTCCCTGTTGGGCCATCCTCAATGTGACAGACAATCCCACAATGACATCCTGGCACAGCACCCCTGGACTCAGGCTTCTCTCCTCTACGACCTTCCACTTACAAAGAGGAAGGATGAGGTGGTCCCTCACTGAGATCCTGCCCGGCCTCACAAGCCTGGTCAGAGTGGTGAGGGAATGGTGATAGGATGGGGGACATGACCCCAGCGAGGAGCGGGAACAGGATGAGTGGAAGAAGCTTCTAAATTATCCATCAACACAGCCATCAGTGCCCCCATGCATAAATGTATAGAGAAAATAGGTGGGGGCCTTGGAGTGGGGAGAAGGGGCCAGGTATAAAAAGGGCCTGCAAGGGACCAACTCCAGGATCCTAGGGCCGAGCTCCTCAAACTGCTCAGGGTTCTGTGGATAGCTCACCCAGGTGCAATGGCTGCAGGTAAGCACCCCAATCCCCCTTTGGCCTGGGGTAGACCGAGAGGAGAGGAAGGGGCCCTGCAGGTGCAATAGGGACACTAACCTTGGTATTTAGGGCTTCTTAATATGAGTATAGCCATCTAAGCCTAACATTTGGCCATGTTGAGAATGGTCTCAGTCCCCGGGGAGAGTGGGAAGAGAAGGAAATGCTCTAGGGGCTTGGACAGAGTGGCCCCCTGCTTAGGGCCTCCTGGCCCTCCGGCATTTCTCTAGGTTGTCGGACTGCCTGGCTCCTGGCCTTCATGCTGCTCTGCCTGTCCTGGCCTCAGAAGGCCAGCACCTTCCCAGCCATGCCTTTGTCCAGCCTGTTCACCAATGCTGTACTTCGAGCCCAACACCTGCACCAGCTGGCTGCAGACACCTACAAAGAGTTTGTAAGCTCCCCAAGGATGAGCACTGGGCAGGGTGGCAGGAGGAGGCAAGTCCCCCCCCCGCCCCCCCCGGGAAACAATGGGAGAAAACAGAGGGGCTCAGGGCTGAAGTGCTATCAAATGAGCAGAAATGGAAGGGGTTCCCGAAAAATAGCCATGAGAGCTGGTTACCAACTCCAACCTCAGAAACGTGCTTTCCCCAGGAGCGTGCCTATATCCCCGAGGGACAGCGGTATTCCATCCAGAACGCCCAGGCTGCCTTCTGCTTCTCAGAGACCATCCCTGCCCCCACGGGCAAGGACGAGGCTCAGCAGAGATCCGTAAGTGGCCATCTGGGCTCTCCTTAGACACAGTTCTCTCTTCCTGCCCAGCAGCCTTCTCCCCAAAGCTGGGTGGTGCTGGAGGCCCAGGCAGAGGCCACCCTGGCCACAGCCCCACACCCCAGCCCTTCCCCTGCAGGACATGGAATTGCTGCGCTTCTCACTGCTACTCATCCAGTCGTGGCTGGGGCCCGTGCAGTTCCTCAGCAGGGTCTTCACCAACAGCCTGGTGTTTGGCACCTCGGACCGCGTCTATGAGAAACTGAAGGACCTGGAGGAGGGCATCCAGGCTCTGATGCGGGTGAGGAGGACACCGGGATCCCCAACCTCTGCCTGGGCCTGGAGGCCCTGCTGGCTGGACTGAGGGCTGGAGCTCCATGGGGCTGGGGACAGATACGCTGCTGCTCTCTTTTTACCAGTCAGGGCTTGAGGCAGGAGGATGCATCTCATTCCTCAATTCTCTTTTTAAATCCTTCTGGCTTTTCTCTGGCTTCCAAGGGGAGGAGGGAAGAAAATGGCTGGGAGAGGGAGGGCAGAGCTCCCTGGGGACTCGGCCTCTCCTGCCGTTTCTTCCTCTTGTAGGAACTGGAAGATGGCAGCCCCCGGGCTGGGCAGATCCTCAAGCAAACCTATGACAAGTTTGACATCAACTTGCGCAGTGATGACGCGCTGCTCAAGAACTACGGGCTACTCTCTTGCTTCAAGAAAGACCTGCACAAGGCCGAGACCTACCTGCGGGTCATGAAATGTCGCCGTTTTGTGGAAAGCAGCTGTGCCTTCTAGTGACATGGCACCTCTGTCACACTGCCCCAGCACCTCCCCTTGCCCTGGGCAGTGCCACTCCAGTGCCCACCATCCTGTCCTAATAAAGTCAAGTTGCATCATTTTGTCTCGCTAGATGTTTTCATACCGTGGGCAGAAGGTGGGCAGTGTGGGGTGAGAGGCAGGCCCGGAAGACTACCGTGGGGATGTGTGGGCTCTAATAGGACCCAGACCTGGCTTTTCTTGGGCCAGAATAAAGCTGACACATTACTCCACTCGCTTCACACACTACATCCATACCCTCCAGTAGGTGTCCCAGCTTTCTGGGTAGTCATAGCTCAGAAAGGTCATAGGTACTTGGAGGCATTCTACCCAGCAAAACTGGCAATGCCAAACTTAGGCCCCCAAGAGCCAGAAGAAATGAAAACAAGACAGATTATTAAGTATAGGAATAAATGTCTCCATGGGAGAAAAATATGTCAAGTCAGTAGAGCACGGAGCAGGGAGTTGAGTTCTTTGTCTCACAGATTTGAAGAATAAAGTCCACAGACACAAGGGTGAGAGCAAAGTAACAGAATTTATTAGATTAATAAAAAGAAAGCAGAGCTCCCAAGGAGGGAGGGGTCCCAAGAAAGGGATAAGGGATACCTAAGAAAGCTATTGTCTCAGGGTTTACAGAGATCTATAGGTTAAGGAAGTGGGCCCGCTGCCCAACCCTGGGTAAGGTACTTGGTATCCATGAGGTATTTGTGCACCTTTAGTCCACTCAAAAATATCAATCATGCATGTTCCCTTCTTTGGAGAGATATGGACCCAGTCACGTAGGTCCTGATTTAAGAATAGCCTTTTTGTAAGTTTCTTAGAAAATATCTGTAGGTGCTGCTTGTGCTCTTTCACCCAGGAATTTACCCAGGGGCCCATCTCCCTACCCTCTCAGCCTTATCTCTTCCTCCTGAGGTTTTTCCCCACTCTGGAGAGGTAACTTTAACCACTGTTAGGGAATTTGGGCAATGACCACTCTAGCTGCTTCAGGCTGAAAAGGGGTGTTGAGAGAAGAACAGCAGTCAGGGTCCTCCCAAAGAGACCTATCTAATGGACCCCTATAAAAGTCAGATGGTACTTCCATGGTAGGTAGCATCTCCATGACCATCTGGAGCTTAATAGACTCTGCAGCTGTCTGCAGTACAGAGGTCCATGGTAGCAGTTGGCAGGTGACTAGACAAGGTGTACAGAGGGTAAGGATCATGCCAGTACAGCAATAAACAAGACAGCAAAGTATTGGTTTTTTGCAAACAATTAGAACAAAAACAATCAGTGTTATCAGGTAGCCTCTGAAGACCACAAAGATAGCAACTTTGTTAGAGTTTTAAGGTGTGGTTTGACATGTCATTCATTTGTGAGTGGACGTCATTTAAGGCTTTAGAAACATCAACAGAGTTGCTAAAAACATATACACAACTTTAAATTTTTATAACAGCACAGGTTTCCCCTTGAGCTGTGAAATGCCCTTTGATTTTTGTAAACTAGCTTTCTCAGAAGCATCAGGGACTTTTCCCTTTCTACAGATCCTCCTCATTGCAGAATATGCACTGGTTGGCTTCCTGTTCTCTAGGAACCTGTAGATCCCTTTGATCAAGAGGTCTGGTGACTTATCAGAGTTGCAGAGCCCTTAAAGAAGTTCGGTTGTTCCATGACTTCAGGCTGACCTTAGAGGGCAAGGACCAAAATATTGGCTGGTTTGTTGTTGTTGTTGTTGTGTTTGGGTTGCTCTCCCACCCCCAACTTTTACTTCCTTGACTTTAGTCTCCAAGTTTTGGTTTTAAACACCAGTAGGCCAGTTTCGCCATTCTTAAAATAGGAGCACTAGGTTTTAACTTTAATGCCTATAATTTTATTGTTACCTTTTTATTTAACTGGAGTCAGTAGTAGTATTGAAAGTCAGCATTATATCTTATCTGTCCTGTAGTTGATGGTTTATTGTCTTAAATTAGCTCATATTGTTTTGTTAGAAGTAGTAATTTTGTAAAATACTAACAGCAGTTATAAAGTTGTATGATGATTTAGTTTGTATAATAGCTTCAAACCAAGAAACATAGTGTCTATAATAACACTAAGGTATATTTAATATCTATTTAGAATATACAAAGACCCATTAATTTATTAACTCATCACATATGAAATTCTTTAAAATTTTGTTTTCTTTTGCAACTTTTACAACTTTATATACCTTTTATAATTCCCCCAAATCTTTCCTTAGTTTTGCATTATATCCCTTGTTTATTTTGAAATCACAGTAATCTTTATAACAAAAATCTCCCTTTTGAACATAACTTTAAATGAGCTTAATCCTGGCCTACTTTGGAGCTATCCTAACATGGAGTAAGGTGAGAGGTAGAGCCTTAACTCGGGTGAGGTATCAGAAATAGACTTATTATCTGATGTATTAAAGCATCTCATTTATAAAACAATGAAACATCAATGGGGCTGGGGATGTGGCTCAAGCGGTAGCGCGCTCGCCTGGCATGCGTGTGGCCCGGGTTCGATCCTCAGCACCACATACAAAGATGTTATGTCTGCCAATAACTAAAAAATAAACATTAAAAAAAAAGAAACATCAAGTAAATAAAGGAAACAAATGTAAACCAGGTTTTTAAATGGCAGTGTGGCTCTTTTATGGCAGGTACAATGTACAAAAGAGAGCCTTCATCAGTTATCATACTTGTATTAAATCTATATAGTTTTCATTTTACAAGATTTTACATAACACTTAGACAAAGCTTGGACAAACGTTTAGTTTTCATTTGTATACATTCTCTGGTCACATAAATTTAAGGTGTCAACTCTATTGTAATATCCTAAAATAACAGTTGTTTATTTAACCAGAGCCATAAAACAATCTTAAAAAAAAACTTTAAAATAGGTATGAACCCTAGTTAACAAAACCTAATAGACACAGGAAATTATCTTGATAAATAAGATCAGGACTAAGTTTTAAGAAAATCTTGGGGCTGGAGTTGTAGCTCAGTGGTAGAGCGCTTGCCTCGCACGTATGAGGTACTGGCTCAAGACTCAGCACCACATATAAATAAGTAAAATAAAGGTCCATCAACAACTGAAAAAAAGAAAAGAAAATCTTGTCATTTTTTAAAAAATATTTTATTAGTTATTGATAGATCTTTATTTATATGTGGTGCTGTGAATCAAATCCAGTGCCTCACACATGCTAGGCAATTGTTCTACCACTGAGCCCCGACCCCAGCCCAAAAATCTTGTCATTTTTAAGAATAAAGAAATAGACTTTGTTTTATATTGGTATGTGAAAAGTTGACCTTAGAAAACTCCTTAAAAAAAACCTTAACTGACTGCACTGAGGATATGCCATTTAATAACACCCCAACTTTTTGAGATTTGCCTTTTACAAATCTTCTGTAACTTACTTAGATACTCTAGCTTGTTTACATCCCTAGCTTTGTCCTGTCTCACTTTTTATTTTGAACTTTAGGATAAAAATATTTCTTTACCATGCCAGATAGTTTCTCTTTCAGAAACATTTTTTCCATATTAAGAAAACATATTTTCATATCTAAAACTTTCTTATATTTTTTCCTAGTTATTAGCTTTTTTTGGGGGGGGTGTGCTGGGGATTGAACCCAGGGCCTTGGGCATTTGAGGCAAGTACTCTACCAACTGAGCTTTATCCCTAGCCCTTAGTTATTGATCTTTTAAGTTCATAATTTGAAACAGTACTTAATATTTTGTGAAAACATACAAAATTACTCTTTTTCTCAATAAAAATAAAATATTTTATGCTTTTCTTGTAGTTCTTTTTCTTCATCAAAACTAGCTTGGGTTTTTTTTTCTGTCTGTCTTTCTTTCTTTCTTTCTTTCTTTGTTGTTGTTGTTATTCCTTGCATTAGAACAACACATATAAATAGAATTTTAACACTTAATCATCTTGTTTTTTTTTAGTAAAGGCTCAGAAACAAAGCCATCTAAAACTGACTTTTCATTTACCAACAATTTATAAAAATACATTTAATAAACCCCCAAATATTTTGTCTTATGGAACTTAAAAAGCCAAAAGTACTTAGGTTAGTATTTAGCAGTTGATGTTTGAGTATTTTAACTTTGTAAATTAATCAGGTATCTCTTTTAACAAACGAGTTTATGAAGATTAATCCCATTTATGTAAATCTAATTTATTCATTCTAGTTAACATTACGTTACCCAAGAAAACCAAGATATCAGACAAATCTAGCTAACCCTTTAAGTCAATTATTCCTGCAAAGGAAAATCCTTAAAAGCAATGGATGGGCTGGGGATGTGGCTTAAACGGTAGCGTGCTTGCCTGGCATGCGTGTGGCCCGGGTTCGATCCTCAGCACCACATACAAACAAAGATGTTGTGTCCACCGAAAACTAAAAAAAAAATAAATAAATGTTAAAAAAAAAAGCAATGGATGTTGTACTTTTGAACATTTTATAGATACTACTGTTTTCTTGGTTGGCTGGCCACTTAAAAAAAAACATGTAGGTTAGTAATTTTTAAAGATATCTTTTCTCATTTTTTTAACCAATTTAAGTCACAAGACCCGAAAGGCATTTGGGTCTATTTTTTTAAACTTATGAGCACTCATTTATCTATGTGCCATTATTGATATCATGCACACAATTTATAAATACAAGTACAAAACCTACAATACATGTGTGCATACATATTCATAAAAATTTATAGGAAACAAAGATATTATAGCTCTTTTCAAGTATTAGATTCCCACAGTCAGGAAGCAAAAGAGTTACAGATGTTTAATTATACACGCTGTCAGGTTTAATCCTTTAGAAATTAAAACAGAATCTGTCACATATTCTTGCAGTATGACTCAGCTAGAGGGTAGGCCAGTACAATTGGGGACATTAGAAGGAGAGTCTGGGGGGTGGAGCTGTGGCTCAGTGGTAGTGCACTTGCCTGGCATGTGTGAGGCACTGGGTTCAATTCTCAGCACCATGGATAAATAAATAAAGGTCTATCAACAACTGAAAAAAAAAAAGAAGTA